AAAAAATCTAGTTTCTAGTTCCTAAAGGCTGACAAGGAAGACGAAATCTTAAATCCCAAAAGCAGAAGCAAAGAGACAAGCAAAGTTTCCATTGGGCACTATATCAATTCCCTAAGAATCCATGTTCTAGCCAGTGAGTGATTAGGTGAAACAGAATTATGAAACAATAAGGAAATGCTTATCAAGATGCCTGATTTGCGTAAGATATATAAGACACGGGCATCTTCTCTTTGATGCAGAATTCACAGGAGCACAGCTACAGATTACATCATGATCTTTTGTATTTTGGTTTTATTTCATTATGAATTCAGTCCAGACATATATAAAATGCTTTGTTGTATTCAATATGCTGCTTTTCTCCTTGCTTTCTTTTACCTGATTGTCGAATCCGTTGAATGGTCTGTTGGACCAGCACCTCTGAACGAGGGACTACAACAATGAAATCAACTTTGCTGAAGTGACCCAGATCCAGGCTTTGGTTGCCACTGTCTGCAATGGCGCATACCTGTGACAAGAGCTTTCTGGCAATTGTGAGTTGTGGTTGATAAATTTGGAATGTTTCAGTGTCCAAATCTAGGAGAAAAAAGAACTATAATTTAGCTTCTGGGTGCCAGAAAATAGTCCAGAGATGCCCATTAATTATTTTCTGTTTCTGAAGCTAAACAGGCCTGGTCAGTACATGGAAGAGAGCTGAATGGAACTTGGTCTCAGGTGAAGTGTGTAGACCAGCAGTGGTGATTTGGATCTGGCTGGCAGGCCAGATCCTGGGTTCTGCCGCCCTCAGTAGACCACTTTGACAAGTGGGTATGTCAGTCACCTGGCACTGCCAGGACATCAGGTGACTCAAAGTCAAAGGAGTCAAAGGAAAATCCATGTTGAGTCAAGCATGGCTTGAAGTCACCACCCATAAGTCAGTAAGTGCTGACTTCAAGCTCCCTTTTTTGTGAATTTTGCTACACTATGAAATTCCCTATGGGGAAACTGATAGCAGAGCTGACTCAAGCAAGCTCTCAGCTGATCAGGTGGGACAGCAAATCTGCCTTGCCATTGAACACTCTGGAGTGCACTTTAAGGCTCCTAATTGTGCACTGACAGCCTCACATATGATGTCAGACACATGACAGGTGGGGTTGGTGTACATGAAAAGGCCTTGCAGGTCAAACTGGGACCCACAAGTGGATGGTTCCTCATGCCTGGTAGATAAGCAATAGGCTAATTACACAAATCATTTTTTAAATTTTCTGGAAGGAGAAATTCCATTTCTGTGTAGGGACAAGTGTAGCAATATGGACCTTGTGACCCAGCACTTTTCAATCCAGAAACAGTAGATAAATAAATATTTTAAAATTAGTAATATTACATAGTGACTGTGACTTGTTTAAAAAGCAGCTTCATACAAGTGTTTGTAGCTGTTTTGGTTGCTAATGCATAAAACTGCAGTAGATGTGGGCAGTAACACATTCTGAATCACTTTTTAAATACCCTCCATGGACCCAAACCACACAGGAAACTTTTTTAACACCCTTCTCGCTTCATTCATACCACACTGGAAAGACCTTTCTAAGATTACAATAGGTGGTTACTGTTATAGCATTTTGTTATCAGCAGCCTGCTATGAATTTATTTGCCATACTTGGTTTATTTCATTTTTTGGTGATTCTTTGAAAGAGCTTACAGTTAACAGAAAATAGTTGTTAGCTTTATTCACTTGGGCCCCAATAATGGGCAGAAGACCTGGTAGCTGTCTGGACCCTCTCAGCATTATTGAGTCCAGTCCTTGTCCTTCACAGGTACACACACACACACACACACCCCATCCTGCACATTAGTGCAGCCAGCCAACTATTCGCAAATTCAGTATAAACCTGGTAGAAGATACTACAACTGTGGAACTACTGACACCACTTCCCCTTGGTCCCCCCCCCACCCCAGAATTAGGATGCGGTGGCAATATTTCTATGCCGAGCAAATACCATGTTTTCTGTGGCTTCATGGTCTGGGCCAGTGTAATGAGAGCAGGGTAGAATCTTAATAGAGCAATCTTTTATATTCTCCAGTTCCCAGGTGAAGGCTAACATTTGGTTTCCACATAAAGTGTTTTGTTTTTCATAAGGAAGCCCTTACCTAATTCTTGGGTGGAAACCATGGCAGCTGCTTCTTGAGATGACACACATTCATTGACATCCCCATTGAACGGGATTACGACGTTATCTCCTCGTCTCTGTTGTATTGTCTCTAACAACTTGTCCAGTTCATCGCCTAGTAAAGAACTTTCTTTTAGAACAATAAGGTAGATTAAAAGGTATACCACATCCCTATGAAATCTTTCCAAGAAACGGTGTAAAGAAACACCATGCCACTATTGAACACCTATCCAGCATTTCCCCATCCAAATACTGCTGAACAAATGAAGATTAACAAAAAGGTTAAAAGGCAACCAGAGCTGTCCAATCTGCTCTTTTAACATCAGTGGTTAGGTCATATAATAAGTAACATTTGCAATGGAATTGATGGAATTGCTTTGTGATGGTTCTGTTTCTTCCTAACAAACATGTTCCAGAATTAGTGCTGAGAAGACTGCTCCCACTCTGAGTTATACCCTACATATTTCCACTGGGTTCAAGCTTATATTCTATGCTTTATAAAATCCCAACAAAACCACTGGGAGAGTTCATCCAGATGGAGGCATCACAAAAATGCAGATTATGCTAAATTCTATTTCCCCTTTTCACTAATGGGCTGGATGATGGTTTCAGTCAAGACAAGAGAAAGCTATTTACAGTGGAGGACTTGAGAGAATGGCTAGCTGGTGAAGTCCTTGTGGTAGACTGGCTCATTCTCTCCACTAAGGAAAAGAATCTTCTCTATACCTCTCTAAAGGTGTCTGTTCCCACATGAACCTGCTTAAATGCTGAGATCAACTTCAAGAGCCTTTCTCCAAGGACTGCCCACCTCTGGAACTGAGGCAAGTGACAACAGGAGAAAGGGTCTTTTTTAGAAATCCTGAAATGAATTGGTTTCTTTTATTTGTATAGGACTTTTAACTTGTTTCAGTGCTGTTTCTTTTTAGGCTTTTAGTTGTACTTGTTTGTAGCTGCTGATTTTTCTATTGGTTTTACTTATAAACTATGAGTTGCTCTGAAAATGTTAAATATTTTAAATCAAACAAAACAAATTAAGCAAACTATTGGGCTTGACATTGCTCTAAAGTGTCTCAGTTTGCTTCCATTGACCCAGAATGCCTTTTATAAGCTTTGGTTGATTGATAGTTGTGCTAGAAGAGAGAGACCTGGGTATTGGCCTTGGAGACCAGACTAGACTCTATACAGGGCATTCTTTGAAAACTGTCCAGAAACTTCAACCGATGCCCATTTGTTAATAGGTGTGAGCTATTGAGAACTTCTCACGCTAGCTCTGAAAAAATTCCATTTGCTACCAGTTTATTTCCAATCACCATTCAAAGTGCCGATTTTTCTCAGTTAAACCCAACATGGCTTGGGCCTCAGCTATCTCAGAAAACGTAGTTTCCCATATGAAGCCCACAATTTAGCATTTTTAAGAACTGCCAATGAGGCTCTGCTCCAAATGCCTTATTTCCAAGGACTGGGACTTACTTCCACTAAGAGCAAGCATTTTTGTTTGTGGCTCCTGAGCTGTAGAACACATTTCCTGGAGAGACCTGTCTATATGTTCTTCCTTGGACTCATTTTGAAACAAAGTGAAAGCGTTTTTTTTCTTCCAGCCACTTGGGATTTCCCTGGAAGTATGCTTTTAATGTCGGCCTCTCCACCCCGCACTAAACCATTTTATAATGTTGAATTTTCAAATTGCCTTAAAATGGCTCTAATTGCTTTAAAATTTGCCTTGGGGACATACGATGTAGAAACGTGGTAAACAAACGAAACTCAACCCCTCTAATGTCGTGGTTGCTCCAGTCTAGAAAGCGGCAGTGAATGCCAATGATTAATGTTAAATGAAACAGGAGGGGGAGCCCTCACTTCATAAAACAAGCATTAGGAGGCAAGAGATGCTTTTAAGATGAGGATGGGGAATAATATTATCTGCTCACTTCCTTGTACGTTGGCTATCACACATCTACCTCCTATACTATACGTTGAGCTTTCCTGACTCAACAGATCTCAAAAACTCTATTATTATCTAATATGAGAGAGAGAAATGGACAGATCTTTAAATCAAAGAAGTAACAACAGGAATTTTAATTCACTCACCTAAAGATGTGTTTTTGAAATGTGATGCCAGATAACTAACTTTTCCCGTAATGAGCTCATAACTGATTTCCTTTAGAAACTCACTGGTAGTAAGCATACTCTCTGCTAGAGCTCTAGACTGATACTGACCTAGAGAACAGAAAGGGAAGAATCACAGGACGTTGTTTGATACAATGGTACTGCCTTCATAAAGAACATCGTGTGTCACAGCTCCAGTCTTAATGATCTATAAGCAGTTTGTGAGAAATGGAAATTTTAGCCTAGAACCTTTGATGACTCCCCTTCATGTATTTAGATCCTTGTGCATCTGTCTGAACTTCTATCCAAGCATTTAAAAAGCCCCTGTAAAGGTAAAGGGACCCCTGACCATTAGGTCCAGTCGTGCCCGACTCTGGGGTTGCGACGCTCATCTCACTTTATTGGCCGAGGGAACCGGCGTACAGCTTCCGGGTCATGTGGCCAGCATGACTAAGCCGCTTCTAGCGAACCAGAGCAGTGCACGGAAACACCGTTTACCTTCCCACTGGAGCGGTACCTATTTACCTACTTGCACTTTGACATGCTTTCGAACGGCTAGGTTGGCAGGAGCAGGGACCGAGCAACGAGAGCTCACCCCGTTGCGGGAATTCGAACCACCGACCTTCTGATCAGCAAGTCCTAGGCTCTGTGGTTTAACCACAGCACCACCCGCGTCCCTTTTTTTTTTTAAAAAAAAAAACCCTGTACGTAAGGATAAAAACAGTTGTACACCATTTTACTACACAGTAAGTGGCCTGGGTAGCTCAGTCAGTACAGCATGAGACTCTTAATCTCACGGTCATGGGTTTGAATCTCATCCTGGGGAAAAGATTCCTGCATTGCAGAGTGCTGGACTAGATGACCCTTGTGGTCTCCTCCAACTCTATGATTCAATGGCAGGAGCTGATATGCCAATGTTGTTTTTAACAGGTATCCATCATATCTAATGGTAGTTCATATTCTGAAACAGAAAAAATCTCATTAGTAAGAAATATTTCCTGATGTGCAAATGGTGATCTCAGTCCCACAACTACTCTCAACTTATTCAGATCTTCTTCTTTGTATTTTTCGTGCTTTGGAAATGTTATGTACTAAGCTTGGAGCCTAGAACAATAGGCAGGTAGGGTCCTAGAATGCAACAACTGATTGGCTTGCAGGAGAAGACCAATCAGGCTCCAGGAGGAAGTTAATCAGCCAATCAGACGGGACTCATTGTATAAATAATGTATATAAAAGCCTGAGGCTTGTGGGGAAATTCAATCACTGTTTTACAAGCTGCAATAAAGAGCATAAAATCACTGCAGGACTCCGAGTATATTTCAGGAAATATTTGTATTTCTGGAGTTGGAACCATAGAAATGTCTGCAGAAGTGGGTGGGAAGAATTTGATTGGCATGAGAGTGCTGAGGAGGACAGAAGCCCAGAAAATCAGACATGGTATTCTACCCCTTTTGCAAGCCCTAAAACACGGAGTCTTTAAAATAGAAAAGAAAAAGAAAAAAAGGCACATAGGGTCACTTTCCCAATATTGCTGGAATGTGTACATACAAGAATTAGACTGCAAGTTTTAAGAGCACTCACATTAGTATTTGAAAAGTGCATTTCTGAATATCCACGCCTGGAATGCAAATATAGCAACAAGGGCTGGAATATGCAGTCAATTAAAAAATTAGTTCACTCCTATATTAACAGCAATCATACATGCACATATTTAGTGTAAGGGAGGTTCAAAGGTGCATTTAATGCCATGTGAAAAAGGCTGCATGTCTGCCAAAAACAGCATTATAAGTTCCAGAGATAACAGCACAATATCCCGACACAAATTTAGTATTGTGTGAGCAAGTGCTTCCCTTGCATTGAGAGTAGAAGGAGCAACAAGAGAGCGCATTTTCACATCAATTCAGCACATCATTTGCCTGCTGTTCCTCAAGGTCAGGCTGGCCCCTGAATCCTGTGAGTGCTCTTCTTGTTAAAAGAAGTCACACAGAGGAATAACTTGCTCAGAAAGAGCAGAGAAGGCAAGTAAACACAAAAGAATAACTATGTATATAACCGTAATGTCAGACAAAATTGTCTGCATTAAAAAGGCGGGCTTTTTTTAAGGGTACAAATTAATCTCTCTCACTGGAATTTCTCTTAAACAAGACATTTATGGAAGATATTTGCCTGGCATTCAGTATTATGCAAGGAAATAAATAAATAACCTTAACCTATTATCAGAGCTGAGCTGAAACTCTATAACCAATTTTGGTCTAGATTTTGTTTTGTTTTCAAAAAGCACCTCTGATTTTCATCAACATTTTAAAAAGATTTTTGCTCATATTGTGTTACATAATTTCCAAGCAAGGATCATTCCTAAAAGAGGTGTCCAATCTTATAATATTTAAAGGCTATTCTGTAAGATGTTCCCAAGTTCTGGAAAATGATACTCTATTCCTGTGTTTGCTGCCACGATGCCCACAAAGATTTTCATAGGTGCCCTAGTCTCTCAGCTTTCATTTTTTAAAAAGGCAAGTCTCTAGCCCACCTAGAAACAATGTTATGGGGCAAAATATGCTGGTACCTCCTCTATTTTTCTAGAAAAAGAGGTGCCAAAACTCACCATTAACACCTCCCTTGTTCTCTTTTAATGGCAATGGCGCCCACCTGAGAGGTGCAACATGCTGATGACTTCACTAATACTGTTTTGGGTGGCTGTGCACAAATCCATATATACCACAAATAAATTAAAGACAAACTTATCTGGCTCAAAATGAAAGTGGTTACAACCCAAGGGTGAGAAACACCCCAATTCCAAAGATTAAAGAGATATACACTAACAAAAGGGATATTGAAATTGAGAATGCTGGGTAGAAATACTATCAATGAATAAATAAGCCAAACAGTGCATGTTTATTCATGCTAACGTTGTGCCTGTGTCTTCACTCTTCAAGAGATCTCCAAGAAACACCTGCATTCTGTTTTGCCAGTGAAATCCGGTTGTTAACAAGGCATCACCTTATCAAAGTTGCATCTATATTGTTTTATGGGGAAAAGGTACCCACCTAAAACTACCACACAGAATTCGTTCCCTCTGGTCTTTGACGCGCAGATGGCAACAACGTAATCTGGCAGCCTTTGGTGGTGTTTCATTTCACTGAGAGATCGCAGTGTTTCGGAAATGCCTTCGGCCAGGGAATTCTGAGTAACCACCACATGCACCATTTCCTGGGAGACACTGGCAATTAGCCTGGCAAGCCACGGGAGTTGAGCTGGCAACAAGATGCCCTGAGCACTCGTTTGTTGGGACTGCTCTCTCACAGTAAACTCTTGCATAGCTTTCAGCACGATCTGTTCAAATTCTTCCCTGAGTGGTATTTTATCAGGACCTGTAATTTTTGATAAATTAAATGATCAAAATAGGTAATCAAAAAGTCTCTTCCTGTGGTAGGAGGAGAGGATATATTGTTTTGATATTATCCCTCCTCACTCACGCTAGTGAGGAAACAGCAGAGCACATTCCCTTTGCAACTTATTGGAAGCAAGTTGATTATTCGTTAAAATCCTTTAATTAAGCAATCCAGTCTGGCTTGTCCTGTCTAGATTGTTCCTGGTGAGTTTCCCCTTTTTATTTCCCTCTTAAAACAATAATAACACAGCACAGTCATCTTTAAAAGTAAGAATAAAGTTTTACTCACATTCAATTCACAGCAGTAATCTGAAGGCAGGCTTTATCTTGTGGTTACAGTGAAAAGAAGTCTGAGTTACATCTCAGACTTTCTGCTTGTGAAGATTGAGCTATGCTCTGGCTAAGAGCCAGGAGAGAGAGAGTCCAAGAGAGAGGTGGTTGCTGGGCCAGCCCTTTTATCTGGTCAGCTTGGGTCATGTCCATCTACTTGGTCACACACAGAGGTAAGAAGCTCCAGAGCAGGTATAACAGGAAGTCCTCCCTATCTGGAGCCACATTCCCCTGTGTGTCCTTTCTAGGCAACAGAAAAATGTTGTACTTGACTGCTCTAGTAATCATACATCCCACACTTCCATCAGACTGTCTCATTCAATTACTAGGGAAGTGTGCTGAGATATCTAAAAGCACAGGACTCAAAGCACAAAGTTGGCCACAGCAAACATCTCCAGTTTTGTTTGTTTTTTAAAGATCATGGATACAATAAAATAAAAGGCAAAAAGTGGCTGGCAGAGATTATTACCACGGAGAGAGAAATTCAGTGGAAAAAAATATGCAGACTTCTCTTCTGCAACCTGTAGCTTGGCTTTGATTGCAACAGTTTCAAAAGGACCTTTTTATGCAAGCCCCTTTAAGCAGGTGGCACAAAGAAGTTTGGATTGCAAGGGGTGATAACGACCTCTAATGAATGCAGAATTGCTTGGTGGATGGTTAGAACAGAAGGCCTTTCACTTCCTTCAATTTTGTCAACTCTATGACAATGTTATTTTAGGCACCAGAGACAAGGCAGTTGGAGATCGTGAGGGAAGCAAGCAACTGTTCCACAGGCCTAAAGCATTAGCAGTAATCAGAAGTGGGATTCTGTAGTGCTCACATTTTTGTTGCTGATGCGCTGAAGGATGGAGAAGTGTGCTTCACGTAGGGGTTGTTTGGCTCATTAGCTTCTTACAGCGCTGATGTCCAGTAAGGTATTAGGGTTGATAGCATTGAAAGCAGAAGGATTAGTAGAGCTGTACTCCCCCTGTCTGACAGAGGTGATCCATTAGGGCAGGCATGCCCAAAGTCCATTTCAGGGGCCTAATTTTGCCTGCCATTTGATTTATTTAATCTGGCCCCTGTGGCAGTATACTGTATGTCCTTGGGTAAAATCCTAAAAAAAGCTCAGCAACAAATCTGTCCCTCTTTGAAAAAAGTTTGGGCACCCCTGAATGATTAGGGCAACTCAGGCCAAGCCTGGAGCTAAAACCTTTTTGAAACGAGTCCAGAAAATCCTCTTAGAGTTCACCACCATCTTCTCAGACACCTTGCTCAAAGTAGGATTATTATTAGTTGTAGTCCCAAAACATCTGGAGGGCTGAGTTGGCCTATGCCTGGCCTATGATGAAGAGGCATTGTTGTGTGCTTCTGATTTTACAAGGACAATTCAGATACTTACCAACAGTCATTAATACTTTTATAAATACAGGTTCAACATGCTAGGAAGGATGTCCCTGATTCCCAGGAAAGCTGATGCATTTCCAGAGATGTCTGTCAAGTTTGCAAATACCGTATTGGCCCGAATAAAAAATGCACCCGCAAATAAGCTGCACCTTTAAAATTCAAGGCTTATTTGTGGGTGCAGCCCACCTCCCGGAACTACCACCCTCAACGGGGGTTGGGGTTGCTCGATGCCCCACTCCCCAAGCCCACACCCCTGATAGCTTTCCTCGGCAGGTGTTTCAGCAGCAATACTGTAAGGTTGCAAATATAAGCCGCACTTTAACTTTTCACAATCCGAATTTGGGGGGAAAGTGTGGCTTATATTTGGGCCAATACAGTAGTAAGGAGCTGTATTGGATTCTTACCTTACAAATTCTGCACATTTCATGAAGACAGTAAGTTGCACTGACACAGGAGAAGCATGTGCTTGTCTTAGTCCATCCTGTTTTCCTACCTTCCCTCTCTCCTGGGGGGTGGGGGTGGAAATCCCTATGTGACTATATAGGAATGGCAGCAGTAATGGAACTGCTGCCTAGCACAAGGAGATAGAGAAGATTCTTAATCTCCCCATAGTTAATTGTGTGTTGCTTACTATTTATACAATAGGTGTTGCTTTCACATAAAAGGTTGCTTGCTGTTCCTAAAACAATAGCTACAAACTACAGCTATAAGCCTTTCTGAGT